GCTAGAGCCTCCACCAGTGGGCCCACTGTCTGGGCTCCTGGGACTCTGCCCAGTTGCCTGGGGGCTGCTAATCCAAGAGGGTGAGATGCCCACCTGGATTTGCTGCATGTGCAGGGCGGGTTGAAGACAGCAGAGTCGCCTTGGCCTCTACTGGATTCCCAGAGTCCAGCACAGTGCCTGGCCCCTAGGAGCCACTGAGGAAGTATTAGTTGAATAATTAAGCTTTCCAGCATTCAGATAAATGCACAGATTCTGTCTCTTGGGGCTGTGGGAAAAAAAGTGTTGGGAAAGAACTAAACACTTCTGAAGTACTAGCAGGTTCTTTTGACATAGAAGAGTTTTATTTCCTTGGGTACATTTTAAGCTTCTTGAGGAGAAATACCTATATTTATCTACCTACACCTATATCTATTCATATTCACATCTATATCAATAGTGATTTGTGGCTCTCGATAAAAGACCAACTTAACTACTTAATAAATGAACTTGTACTGCTCATAAAGAATTTTCACATTATTCAACTGATTTCATCCTTTTTGCAAACAAAGGTAGTGTGCATCATCCTCTCCTTTGCAGAAGAGGAAATCAAGGCCTTGGAGATCAATGGTAGAACTTGGTTTCAAATCTGGACCTTCAACAACACATTCCATGATTCTCCACTACACCAACTTCTCTGAGGACTAGATTCTGAGGAGCTCAGGAAAGGGAGGCATGGGGAGGGCTCTGAAGACAAGGTCTGCCTACTTTTCTTTTGAGCAACTCTTCCTGTAAGACAGATGGAAGAGGAGAGACCCATAGCCAGGCCTCTGGGTAGCAGTGGAAACCTCAGCTCATTTTCTGATTTCAGGAACTGTCTGAAATTCCCTTCATGGTGTTTAGTTAAAATCTGAGCTATGTTCAAATGCAAATGTCTCTAGAAAATGTAGCCCAATAAATAAGCAGTCATTGAGACCAAATGTGGATGCATTTTAGATACTTCCCTCAAAACATACTTTGATGTGGGTTGGGGTAGGTTAAATAGAGGGCATAAAAATCACAGAATGACTCAGATGCTGTAGACCAAGAAAATCAGAAGCCCCAAATATATTTAATTTAGCCTTGATTACAATTAAGTTGGGGCCAGAGGCCACAGTCTTCCATAGCATTGGATTAACTATGGTGTATGGATAAGAGAAGGGCTTAGAGGATATTTACAGACCCATTTTTCTAAATTTAAGTTAAATCTCTACTCACTTCATGACTTGTTCTCCTAAAATAGAATTTTTGCTAGGTTTTTTTCACTAAGAAGAACAAAGAGATTTTTCCATAAAATAATTTTGCTGACTTGTAAAATTGAGACTGTGAAAATTTGTTATATAGAAAACTGTGCTTGTTTTAGGAGATTGACTTTACTCATAGACCCAATGTCTGTGACCTCCCAGGTGTACTTCTAATCCCCACAACCCAGCTGGAAGATTGGGCATGTTCTTCTAGAAGTAGGAACATAGCTAAAAGCATTTTGTCTTATAAACATAAATAAAGCGTAAAGTGACTCAAAGTGACTTGTATAATAAAGTAACTCTAGCTAATTAATCTTTTTAACAAAGTGCACAATTTCAGAATAAGTAGAAGAAAACAGATTATAAAGATAACAGTATATAATAATAAAATAGAAAACCAAGATACAGTAGAAAAAAATTAACAAAGGCGTAACTTGGTTCCTTGAGAAAACAGATAAAATAGATAAAACTCTGATCAGGGGGAAAAATCCCCTATAAGAGAAAAAGAGGGAGGGATGCAGAATTTCAAAATTTCCTTAAAGGGGAGGAAAAGGATATCACAAAATTGGGGAGAGAAAAGAAAAGCTTGTGGAGAGACAACACTGGGGACTGACTTTGAGTTTTACTGTTTCTTGGTTTTATCTTAGTCACTGCAAGTTGCCTCTGCTGGTAGTGACAGCTAAATGGATTAGTTAGGATGCTTTGTGTTACAATGGACCAAAACCCAGATTCAGACTAGTTAAGCAAAAAAAGGCTCACATCAACACAGCTCCTAGGCCAGTGGAAGACAGAGACTGTGTCCCAATATTTCCAAAAAAAGCCATGTCAAGGAATTTTATTAGCCACGATTGCTTCAGTTGAGTGGTGTGTTCATCTCAAAACCAGGCTGGGAGAATGGAATGTTCTGGAATGCTCTAGTCTAGATGACATGTGCAATGGGAGATGAAGGTATTCATCAAGTGAGCCACATGCGTTTGAACATTGAGGAGCAGTGACTCCCCCCAAAGCAAAATCATGTCCTGTTGTCCTGTCATGAGAAGGGGCAGCTGATGCCAGGTAACAAAAACCCCACAGGTGTTACAAAGGTCACCAGAAACCATTGCTGGGGTCCTCAGGGTCTTTTGACTGATATAGGAAACTGAGTGAGATATCCACAGGCAGCCCTTCAAGTTCATGGCTGAATTCAAGAGGTGAATCAGGTTCCCAACATGTGATACCCACAAGTTTATGAGAAAGGAAATGATTGGAAGCCAGAAATGGCATTTACAATTGATCAGCAGCCAACCACAAGAGTGACATTTGGGGGTGATGCAGTCAAAGAGAGATTCGTAAGCCTTGTGGAAGAAAATAGACAAGGCTTTTTTTTTTAAACCCCAATTTGTAGTCATTTAAACCAAGTGCCTTTGAGGTTTGAGTGAATAATTTTTCTTCATTTGCTACAGCAAGCATCAAAGTTGGAAGTACCAGCTGTTAGTGAAGGTTTCCCAAAGACTATGGTTCTAGTGAGAAGACCAGGTGGGGGCGTGGGGGTGGAGTTTGGTTGGAAGATGGGGGAGGGGCATTAGCAGCATGATGAACGTCTCTGAAATTCTTACAAGATTTAGTCTGGTTTAGAATTTGAAGATTGTTTTTCGTCTAAAATATGAATCCCCAAATTGTAGCATTCTTATATTTGCTCTGTCCTGTAAGATTTCTATTATTCCTTGCTGATTGCACCTAAGAGATATTTTCTCTCTAAAGCTTGTATTTCTAAAATATCACTCATTCGTTCAATCAACCAACATTACACTGAGGACTTACTGAGAGAGAACTAAGGTTTTCACAAGAGTATGAGGATCTCCCATTGACTGCCTCACCCACTTCCTCCTCACCATCCTGACTGTCTTCTAGTTGCCAACTCAACATCTGCAGGTAGGTGCCTCGGGGACATTTCAAATGCGACATCCCCAATATCAAACTCTTGATGCTTCTCTCCCAGCCAAACCCTCTCTTCTTCTTGGCTTTCTCATTTTAAGAAATGGCATCTCCATCTACCCACTGGCTCTAGCCAAAATCTGGGAGTCACTTGGTTTGAATGACTACAAATTGGGGTTTAAAAAAAAAAGCCTTGGGGCTGGCCCGGTGGCACACTGGAGAGTGCGCCGCTTGGGAGCATGGCGGCGCTCCCGCCGAGGGTTCGGATCCCATGTGGAGACCGGTTCCTGCTCACTGGCTGAGCGCGGTGCAGGCGCAACACCAAGGGTTGCGATCCCGTTGCCGGTCCCCGGTACGGGTGCGACACCAAGGGCTGCGATCCTGTTACCGGTCAGTAAAAAAGACAAAAAAAGGAAAAAAAAAATAAATAAATAAAAAAGCCTTGTCCCATTTTTTCCCATAAGGTTTGCAAATCTCTCCTTGACCACATCACCCCAAAATGCCACTCTTGTGGTTGGCTGCTGATCAATTGCAAATGCCATTTCTGGCTTCCAATCATTTCCTTTCTCATAAAGTCATGGGTATCACAAGTCGGGAACCTGATTCACCTCTTCAAGTCAGAAGAAATGGAAGTCAGCCATTTCTTCCAACTTCCCGCTAAAACCAACCCAACAGCAAGTCCTGTTGATCCTTCTTTTTAGATGTGTCTTGAATCCACATTCACTCTTCTCCCCCTTCTCTGCTGTCATTCAAATGCCAGCTGCCAGCATCTCTCTCCAGGACTAGTTCAACCCATTCTCCATTGAGCAGTCAGAAAGATCTGTTTTGAAGCAAAAATATATCATGTTACTTCTCTGGTTAAAGCCCTTCAGTGGCTCCCTCTGGTATTCAAAATGACTTGACAAGGCTCTGGGCCTTGGCCTACAAGGTCCTTCCTACCTTTCAGACATCTCTTCTCTCCGTCCCCCTCATCCTCTATGCTGTGGCACACTGGCCTTCATCCAGATCCTTACAAGCACTCACCTCTTTCTGGTCCCGGTGCCTTTGCATGTGCTGTACTTTCTGACCACACTGCCCCTCCCTTAGCCTCGGCCTCTGCCCTTAGCCCACCTTCCCTTGCCTGGCTCCTCCTTCTCATCGCAAAGCTCTCAGCTAAGGTCTCACACAGGCTTCAGCTCTCTGACCCCCACCAACTTAGGGCTCCTTTCTCTCCCTTCATGGGCTCTATCACAACTTGTGATTGCGTGTTCATTTGTATGAGAGTGCCTGAATGAGCCCTGTTTTGAGCTGCCGACACATGTAATAATATAAGGGAGAGCAGTTTGAGACTTCAGGGAAGGCCACTCCAGCCCACACCATTTCATGCACTGTAGGAATGTGTATTCGTGTCACGGAGACACAGCTTGAGTAAGTTACATCTGAACAAGGATTTTTACATTTTCAAAAACTCTTGCTATTTCCTGGAAACAGACTGTGTCTCTCTGATTGTCTATTAAGCTTTTTTTTTTTTTTTTCTTTTAACTGCTGAAGATCTTGGAACCAAACCAATCCACATTTCCATTTTTATATCTCAATTTATAAACTGCGCCTTATAATTTACAAGCACTCACTTAGTGTCTCTAACCGAGCCGACACAAATACCACCCCTGCCAGCTACGCTACTCAAGTCTTCTCTCTGCACTCTTCTTATCAGGAACTTTCTAGTTTTTCAAGTTGGAGAGGATGGGCTGGAGCTAACCCTAGGGGACAGGAAGGATAGTAATAGTGATGATATGTCACATTTATTTTATGGATGAGAAAATGGAAGCTGGAGACAGGAGTGACAACATGACCGAGAAGGTTTACTCGTGAGTGGTGAAGCCAGGACTAGACTCTGCTCTGGAATTCTTCATGCAAGAGTCTTTCCAGGATACTAGACCAGGCTTTCTCAACCTCAGCTCTAGTGACATTTTGGACTGGATCATTCTTTGTTGTGCACTGCAGGATGTTTAGCAGCATGCCTGGCCTCTACCCGTTAGATGCTAGTAGCACCCAGTCCACTGTAACGACCCCAAATGTCTCCAGACATGGCCAAGTGTCCCCTGTATTACCCCTAATTGAGAACCACTGCATTAGACCATGCTCCTGACCTTGATTAAATAGAGGCACCGAGGTCAGGAAAACACATCTCCTTTCACAGCCTCCCCTCCCCCACCCCTCACTTCCTTACAGTCCCAGGGTTTACCTGAGACTTGACCCACCCACACGGTTAGGTACTACTCTGATCAGACAGCCAGTGCCTTCTGTGTGGCATTAAATGCTTTAGATTTTTAATTACACTAAACTCCCAAAGATGGATACAATGATCTTCCGTTTAACAGGTAAGGAAATTGAGGCTTAAAAGGTTCTAACTTGCTCATGATCACACAGTGGTAAGTGGCAGGCTGGGCTGTAAACCCAGACTTGTCTAGTTCTGGGGCCAGAGTTTACCCACCCCACCCTGCCCTTTGTTCCACTCCAACGCAGGTGAGAAACAGATTTTCTTTTCCTGGATCATCAGGAATCATTTGAGAAGCCTGACTCCCTCCTCTTTATAAAGCAGTAGCCCATCCCTCTTAAGGCAGATATCTTTCAGCAAGGCACACAGCACACACACCTATGATTGTGGATCCAAGTGTCTGTCACCCTCTTCAGACTGTGGCCAGTGTCGTCAGCCACTAGCACTAGGCCTTGTTGAGTAAAGCATTTGCAGAATGCATGCCCACACAGCAGCGGGGGTTAGACACAGCAGCCAGTTCTGGAGGACAGACTTCCTGTCTGTATCTGGGAATGATACAGACCAAGGTCAAGACAAAAACAACGCTAAGCTCAAGTTTCCCATCCACAAAATGGGAAGACCCACTTCTCAGGGTAGATGTGTGAATTACATGATGATAAATGTAGACTGCTAAGTGCATTGACCCAAAATGGTGACCTGCAACGAACGTCTAACTCCCTCAAGAAAGTTGCCTACAAGCTTGCTTTCAATTCCTGAACCTCTTTTGATCAGTCTGTGACCCCCACGTAGCCTCGTGGAGTTAGTCCTTTAGGACTATCTGCCCAGCTACACTTCAAGCTCCCTGTTCCTCTGTCCCCTGCCACAGTGGCCAGCTTGGAATATGCCTTATGGATAGTGCTAAACGTGATTGCTGAAGAAGCAATCTTGATGATTCCTGCAGTAATGACTTTCCAGCTTGGGTACTGCCTTCTCTGGGTATATCTTAACACATGAAATGGTTTTCCTTGGTTTGTAGCCTAATGCTGGTGCCCTTGACTCCGCACTCTGTGAGGTTTGAGCTCTTATTTTGGTCATTTTCTTAGATTTCCCCTGCTGCACACTACCTTGTGTTAAGATTCAAGATCATTGTGTCAAATTTCAGGAGCAGAAGAGGGGCTCAGTAGGCCGGGTTACCACTCCCCATCCCAGGCTCCAATCCCCATCCTGCCTGGCCATTCGCTACACCACCAGCCAGTTACTGATGCTTTCTGGGCTTGGGTTTCCTCACCAGTAAATTAAGGATATTAATAGGACCTGCCTCAAAGGGTTAGGAGATTAAATGTAATCTCCTAGAATGGATCACACCCTCAGTCTCTACTAACAGTTTTTAATCCCCAGTCGTTTGATTGGGGTGGGCGGGGTGGCCAGAGGGTGTGCTGACTGAGGGAAAACTTTCGCAGGCCTTTTAGCTATTCAGCAAGCAGTAGGCAGGGCCCGCAGTAGCAGGAACGCACAGGGCGGTAGCAGGGTTCTCTTCTGCATTCCTTCGGCATGGAAGGGTTGGCTGGCTTCAGTAACCCCAGGGTGCTATGGACATGGGAGCCAGACCCCTCTGCCCCAAGGCAAAAGACATGCAAAGCCATTCTGGCTGAACCCAATGCCAGCATTCGCTTCATTTCCTCTCTTTGCAATTAATAAAGGCTGCCCAAAAGGTCTGGACTCTTCCAATCACCCAGGACAGACTCTCCCTCCCCAGTAATCAAGCCAGGTCCCTCTGCCCCTACTGTCCTTTCCCCCTCTTACATTTCGGCCCCGAGAGAAGCAGCCCCGTGCTTTCCCCAAACTATTTCCAGCCCGTGGAGGGACTGCAGGCATCTGGTCCTGCACCGCTCAGCCAGGTCCCCAAGGGGGTCTCCGTCCCGGCCGGCCCCTCCCCCAAGGTCCCCCAACTTTTCCCTCTGTCCCAGCGCCCGGGGCGGGGCCGGGAGGGGTGGCGGGG